TATAGAACTAAAGAAACGCTTCCAGGATGCTGAATAATCTTTTGTTGAGGACTTGAGGAAAGACATGGACAAGAATTACCTAAGATGGAGCTGCTTGGTTTTCCTGACTTCCTTCAAGTCCCCGCTAGAATTTCATCTTCTCCAGGAGGCCTTTCTTGATCCTTCCTAATTCTAGTACCTTCCCTCTCTTAATCATTTCCTATTTAACCTGTACACAGTTTGTATGTACTTGTTTGCTTACTGTCTCCTCCATTAGATTGTAAGCTCCCTGAGGGCAAGGAACTATGTTTTGCCTCTTTTTGTATCCCCAGCACTTAGCACAGTGCCTGACACATAATAGGTACTTAATAAATGTTTATTGACTAACTGACCACTAAGTGGGAACGTCCACACTAAAGTTCGATCTACAAAAGTACAGATGGTGTAGGCATTATATGGCAGAACCAAACCTCAAATGGAGGCAGAGGAGGCTGTGCCCTTCCCAAAAACTGGGAGGAATTTTTCTCACTTTACATAATTTCACAGGCAATGCAAAGGTATTAGCACCACGGAAAGATTGAGCTGGCCCTGCACAACAGTGCTGAGGCGCACCATGATAATCATGAGCCTTCTTAGATAACATATGGATGTGCACATTCGAGTTTAGAATCTCCCAGTGGCACGTGCTGACCCCCAGAGCTCCCTGAGCTCTCCACAACATGCCCATGCTACTGCAAGAGACGCAAAGGACCTGGTGGCCGGCACTCCCAGACACCAAATTGCTATGTACCTGAGGAAGGTCCGAATATCTTTGTTGTTCAGATCCAGATGCTTCCTGAACTCCTTGGCGTAGGCAGACAGAGGTATCATTGCCTTCTCTATGGCATTGGAGAGAGACTTACGCAGGTCCTCCACTAGCGGCTCGTGCAACCCCACAGACTCCAGCAAAGGGATACCGCTGACAAAAATATCTTCCATCACAAACTGTGAGAGAGAGAGAGAGAGAAAGAGAGAGAGAGAGAGAGAGAGAGAGAGAGAGAGAGAGAGAGAGAGAGAGAGGCAGTGAGAAGTTAGCATCCCAGATAGAAGGGGAGAAGGACATTCCTGCAAATGAGGGAGGACAAACCCTGGCTCCCAAAAAGCCACACCAGGATCAACAAAGAAAACACCTTTTTGAAAAGCATATAGTCCCTCTCTCTCCCAGACACATAACAGGCTCGCTCCGCCCTCTCAGGTGATCCCTGATAGGGAGAGAATTCTTCCAGGGCTAAAACTGCCTCAGAAGGAGAAACAGGAACCTGGAAGGGCTTTACAACTGGCTCTCTCTCCAATACACTTCCTGATTCAGGGCCATGAATATGAAAAGAAAGAAGAGCCATTCAGAATCATGATGGATGGGGCTGTACCCAAATGACAACCTCACCGGTAATGAGTCCAACCAGTTGACCCTAATGGACACTCGGTCACTGCGTCCTTCAGCAGCCCTTCCAAACTCTCTTTTCTTCAGCTCCCAAGGTCAGCTTCAGCCCCCTTTCTCTCAGCAGATGTCCTCACCCCCACTTTACAGAGAAAACCAAGACCGTCCACTGGGAACCCCATCGACAGCCATACTCCATCCACACACACCTCAAAACTCTTCAGCTTCTTCATCATCCTTTTCTCTAGTCTTTCTCCTTGCCAGGAAGGATTCTGTTTGTGATCTCTATCCTAAGTCCTCCGGGAATTCAAGCAGTCAATCATTCCCACTCTAACCTCCAATCTTTTCCCACATACTGACTTCTTCCCCACCATCTTTAGTTAATCCTGTGGCTTAATAGAAGGTTAACAATGCCATTCTTTGCCATCCTTCAGAGTTAACAGCTGACCCCTGGAACACATACACATACCAACACACACATGCAAATTGCATTTCCTCTGGCTACGTGCCAGCTACCCACAGCTGTACCTTCTCCAGTTGAGGTACGGAATGAGTTGCCAGAATGCCCTTGTCAAAAAGATTCAGCAAAGATGTCATAAAATTCTCTAAGGGGGTGCTGTAATGAGACCCATTGTTGTCCAGAACCAGGTCCACTATGAAAAGAGGATTCTTTCGGGGCCTAGAGAGAAAATAACAAAAACAACAGACAGGTATTTAGTGCTTTAAAGATGGTAAAACATTTTACATATATATGTATCTAAATATAATATATATGTATCTAGATTATGTATGGGTATAATGATATATATGGTATAATTTATCATTTGTAAATTAAAATATGTTGTTAATACTGAATGCTAAATATTGTTATATATATGTTAATAATGCTTTATACATGTGTAATACATTTAATCTCATTTGATGCTTACAAACACCCTGGGAAATAGGCACTAATATGATCCGATTTTATAGAAGAGGAAACTGAGGCAGATAGAGGTTAAGTGACCTCCCAGAGTCACATGGTTAGTAAATATCTGAGGCTAGATTTGAACTCCCAAATCCAGGCCCAACACTCTATCCATCCCACCACTTAGCTGCCTCTAAAATAAAGGTGTTATTTGCAGGTCAGGCTGGGAAAAGGGAAGAGAAGCTGGAAAGCAAAAGGCAGGGGGCCTATGTATTATGCCAGGTCTGAGACAACTTGCACCACAAGAAAGTGATTTTGAGTGACCGCCTGAAAATGTCCCAGGGATCTGGAAGAATGGCAGGATGTGCAGCAAGTTCTTCAGATTGCCAAGACTGGGGAAGAATCTTGAGCTCTTCTCTCTCTCGCTCCATGTCTCACATCTCCGATTGTCAACTGGACATTTTGAACCGAATGTTTCAGTTCTCTTAAACTCAACACATCTAAAACTAGACTATTTTTCCCTAAAACCTTGCCCCACCATTCCAAACTTCTCTATGACTGTCAAAGGTACTACCATCCTCCTAGTCATCCAGACTCCCCATTCTCTACGTAGTCCTTTCTGTCTCACCCCCATATCCAATCTGTTGCCAGGTCACGTTGTCTTTTTTTGTTTATTTTTTAACCTTCCTAACATCTCTTGCATGTGGCCCCTTCCTTCCTCTGACCCTGCGCTACTTTGGAGCAGGCCCTTATCACCTCAACAGTCAATAAACATTTGTTAGGCACCAGGCACTACGCTCACACTTTTCACCCAGACTTTTGCAACAGCCTGAGTGGTCTCAAGTCTCTCTGAAGTACAGTCCATCAAAAACAAACTCCTCTGTTTGACTTCTAAAGGCCTTCGTCACCTTGCCCCTTCCTATTTCTCCAGTCTTCTTACTCCCCTCCGTATCCTCTGCTATTCAGTGCCTCTGGCCTCCTTCCTTCCTATTCCTCGCCCACCACACTACATCAGCTGACTCTCCCCCAGGCCTGGAACGCTCTCCCTCCTTACCTACCTCCTAGCTTCCGTCAAGCCCCAGTGAAAACCCCACTTTCAGCAAGAAGCCTTTGCTAGTCCTCCTTAATCTTAGTGCCTCTCCCCCTGAGATTACCCCTGATTTATCCCGTGTCTACCTTGTTTGGATACAGTTCTTTTTCATGCAGTCCCCTCCATTGGGTCGTGAGTTCCTTTAGAAGGGGGGTTGTTTTTTGCCTTTCCTTGTATCCCAGGGCTTACAAAGCCTGGTACGCAGAAGGCTCTTAGTATCAATGCTAGGTAACTTGACTTGCTTTCTGAGCCTGCCTTGGGCACAGAAAACTAATTCAATGGGTGCTGGAAGCTCTGTCAAGTTGTTGCCCATGGGTACCGACAAAGAGTCTATATTTTGAATGCCTTTGGTTTGTGTGGGATCGACCTTGTTCCCCCAGACTACTTGGATGATACTTGGTTCCTCCTTTTCTAAAAGCATGAGTCTTCTCCTGTGATTCAGACACTAAGAATAACCAATGCTCTCAGAGCCTGAGCCCTTCATGGGGAAGTCGATGCCAGCTTTATTTCTCTGCTCCAAGCCACTAAAAGCAAGGCTGGTTACAAATTTCTCTGAGCAGACAGGTCTGTCTATGAGAGACAGGTTGTGGGCCTGTGGGCCTGTGTTCGTCACCCTACACATAGGAGAGTTGTACTAAGAAATTCTCCATTCCCTCATCAAATGATAAGATAGCTTCCTGTGAGGCAGCTAGGTAGCTCAGGGGATAGATCACTGGGCCTGGAGTCAGGAAGACCTGAGTTCAAATGTGACCTTAGACACTAGCTGTGTGACCCTGGGCAAGTCACTTAACTTCTGTTTACCTTAATCCCCTGAAAAAGGAAATGGCAAACCATTCCAGTACCTTTGCCAAGAAAACCCCACAGACAGTACTGGTGTACTATGGTCCACAGGGTCATGAAGAGTCATACTCAACTAAACAACAACAAAAAGCTTTCTTCTCATTCACCCAGCCCTGGGTTGGTGGCAGACAGATACAACGAGCTACTCTCCCTCTTCTCACTTGTACGGACTGTTGATGAGATCAGGACCCCAGACCATGTCTTCAGAACAGTTTAAGACGCTGCAGCAGGCATCCAGGATGAACTGGGTAAAGTTGACAAGAGAGTCCTGGACGAGGAATCTGATAGAGTCCTGCAGGGTGTACTTGATGAGTTCCATCAGTTTATGAAGCTTGGACATCTGGTACACTTCCCAGTTAGTCTCATAGAGGTTATACCAGCCTTTGCTCATATCCCTCAAGCTACTCCTGATTGCAACCTTCAGAGTGCTGACCCAGCTGTCCTTCAGGAACATCTGAACCTGGAGGAAAGAGGTGGAGAAAACAAGACGGAGTGAGAGCAACTCTGATACAAAATAAATCCACAAAAGTCATCAGTATTTCTATATAATAATAACAAAAACCAGAAGAAAACTATGGGGGGGGGGGGTGGGAACCCTGTTCAAAATAACTACAAAATTAATATCTGGTAATCAACCTACCAACACATACTCAAAACTTATAAAAATACAATTACAAAACACTCTTTACAGAAAAGGAAGATCTAAATAATCATAGAAATATTCATTGGTTATGTTTATGCTATAACAATATAATGAAAATGATGATGCTATAGACAATGGTGATTCTTCAATCAAAAAATGGGTTACTTTGTAGAACAAAACAAAATTACAAAAAAATTTGATGCAGTTTGGGGTTGCTGGGAACCCCAAAATGTCAGGGGGGGTGAGATTGGTACTTACATACAAAAAAACACAGTGAGAAGATCTGGATGGGATTAAGAAGAGGTAAATAGCCTAGAGTGGGCCAAGTGCAAGACATGGAAAGTATTGAGTATCTAGGTGGGCTGGGATGGGCCAGATGCCTCCAGCAAGACACCAGGGACAGGGTTGTGTGGGAAAATGCAAGGACTGGGTTGCTGAAATGTATGGGAAAATTCAGGGTCCAGGTCCCATCATCCCAACAAATTCACTTCAAAGAGCAAAACAAAACAAAACAAAACAAAAACAAATCCAGAATTTCTGCAGAATCATGGGGGGAAAAAACTAGGAAAGAATGAGGGATAGCATTTCCAGATCTCAACCTATATTAATTAGTAATCACTAGAACTACATAAACTACCAAAAAAGAGATCAATGGAACAGATAAATAAATATATAAGAATCAGAAACAATCTAACTCTTAATGGCCCAGAGTTCACTAAACTACTTGAGGATGGACTCCTCCTGGAGATGCCATTAATATTTCTAAAAATACTACTGGGGCCCACAAAGAAGAAAGAACTATGGAGTTTGAATGCAGATTAAAGCATACTATTTGCTATTTTTTTCTTCTGTTGTGTTTTGTTTCCTCTTTCTGGTGATTCCTCCTATTGGTTCTAATTCTTACTTACAACATCACTAATGTGAAAATATGTTTAATAGAAATGTATATGTATAGCCTATATTAGATTGTGTGCTATTTTGGGGAAGGAGGTGGGGAGGGAGAGAGAGAAAAATTCAAACTCAAAAGATGATGAAAGTGATTGTTGATAATTCAAAATAAATTAATTAAAAAAATATTACTGGGGGGAAAATGAACTTTTAAACAACAGAAGATTTTCAAGCATTGCTAATAAAAAGAAACTTTGACTTTTAGCCACAGGAGTCAAGAGAAATCAAGAAAAGTAAATAATTTGAGCAATTGGAAAGAGCTAAACAATGATGAAATACACTCTAATAGAGACAGAAAAAGTGTTCCCTCAGAATACAATGTTTTCAAAGACCACAGAGAATTAAATAAGACAAATACAACACCTGGATATGTTTTTCTTCCATTTTGTGGTTTTAAAAGAGGGAGGGGGGGCAGCTAGGTGGCACAATGGATAGAGCACCGGCCCTGAAGTCAGGAGGACCTGAGTTCAAATCCGGCCTCAGACCAAACACTTGACACTTACTAGCTGTGTGACCCTGGGCAAATCACTTAACCCCAATTGCCTAAAAAAAAAAACAAAAAAAGAGGGAGGGAAAGGAAGGAAAAAAGAATGTATTAGAGAAGAAAAGAGGGAGAAAGGAAAGGAAATTATGATTTCATATAAAGGGGCAAAAAAGTACCAGCAGGAAAGTCTACAAACATGGAGGAAAAAAGTAAGGGGAGCAGACATAATAATGTCCTTACTCTTATAAGAACTGTATAAATTAAAGTCAAACACAAACACACAAACACAATTTGGAAAAGAAATACATTAAACTTGGGGCAGCTAGGTGGCACAGTGGATAGAGCACTGGCCCTGAAGTCAGGAGGACCTGAGTTCAAATCCAGCCTCAGACCAAACACTTGACACTTACTAGCTGTGTGACCCTGGGCAAGTCACTTAACCCCAATTGCTTAAGGGAATAAAAAAGAAAGAAAGAAAGAAATACATCAAACTCAGTAGGGAAAAAGGATGGGGCCAAATAAAGGGGATATCGGGGTAGAAGAATAGTCAGAAGCAAAACAAATGTTATCTTCAGAAACTTGATCTAAACAGGGGAGTGAAAAATAAAGGGTAAGAAATAGAAGTGGGAGTGTGGGCTTAGTGAAAAGAGGAGGTATAGAGGAGTGCAAATAGATCACTTTAATTATCTATTACTAGGGTTGATCAGATCCTTCTTTTTCTCCAGTCCAGGCCATCTCCAGTCATCCTGATCAATATCTGGCCACTGGACCCAGAAAGTGAGGCTAGTGACTTTGCACAGCACTCCCTCACTCAAATCAAATTCAATTGCAAATCCTGTCATCATCTCCCTGATGTCATGGTCCTCCTTGAGAATGAAGGACAAACCACACAACTTAGTATATAGGAGGAAAAGAAGAAACCATAAAAGAGACCACAATGGAGAAAACTATACAGTTAACAATCCTAACAGTGAATGTGAATGAGATTAACTCACCCATAAAACAGAGGAAGGTAGCAGAATGGATTAGAAAGCAGAATTCAGCAATGTTTATAAGAAATATATTTGATGTTTTACTTGATTGCACATGTATAACCTATATCATATTGCTTTCCATCTCAGGGAGGGGAAGGATGGATAGAATTTGGAACTCAAAACTTAAAAAAAAATAATGTGTTAAAAATTGTTTTTACAACTAGGGAGAAAAAATAAAATATTTTAAATATATAAACTTAAAAATTCACGGGGTTAAATTGAGGAGCCAAGGTAGGATTTACCATGCTTCAGATAAAATTTTAAAAATCAAAGGAAGTAATCATGATCTCAGATATGGCAACAGTAAAAATAGGCATGGTTCAAAGGGATAAGCATAGAAACCACATGTACTTAAAGTCACTCAACAAGGATTTATTAAGCACTTACCACGTGTCAGGCTCTGTGCTAAGCTCTGAGGATACAAAGAAAGGCAAAAAAAAGTCTCTGCCCTCAAAGGGCTCACAGGCTAATGGAGGGAAACAACATGAAAAACAACCATGTACAAACAAAATATATATAGAATCAACTAGAGATGAACAATAGACAGAAGGCACTAGCATTAAGATGGGATGTTAGCTGGAATTTGAAAGAATCCAAGGAAACCAGGAGGTAGAGATGAAGACGGAGATAATTCCAGGCATAAGGAGCATCCAGTGAAAATGTCCAGAGTCCAGAGATGGAATGTCTTGTTTGAGGAACAGCAAGGAGGCCAATGTCACTGGATCACAGAGTATATGCGTTGAAGTCAGACTTGGGAGAGCGGTTCGAGTGTGAAAGAACTCACTTGAACATTCTTGGTAGCCAATGGGAGCTTCATTACATGTAGCACACAGGCCTTGTTAGCAAGATGCTAATTAAAAAGGCGCTGATATTTGGGGAACCAGGCTTATATAGAGGTTTCAGAATGATGACATAGTTTTAGAGTTTTTTTATGGGTATTAAAGATTAAGGACAGGACAGGAAAGGATTTTATGACAGAGAGGGAGGGAGACAAAAGGAACTCTTTATGGTTTAAAGATGTAAGGACAGGGCAGGGAGATACAGGTTAAAGGTTAATAATAAGGGCAGGGGGAACACAGGATAAGGGAGACAAAAGCAATTCTTGTGGTACAGGTTAAGGAGAAGTTTTGTGGAATTTCAAGGTAAAGGGGAAAGAACTTTAGAACACCCTCAAGTTACTGGATAAGCTACAGAATAAGCCCCAAACCCCTCAGGAGAGGCTTCAACAAAGTAGTGGAAAAGCAACCCTTAATATTCTTCTTAACCCTTAGGGCACCGTATGCTATATCCACTTCACATGGGAGGTTTAAGGCATAAGACTAGAAAGGTAGCGGAGGGCCAAGTTGTGAAGGGCTTTGAATGCCAAACAGAGCATTTTATATTTGATCCTGAAGGAGGTGATAGGAAGCCACTGGAGTTTACTGACTGGGAGATGGGGAAGGAGGGGTGACTTTAGGATGATTAATTTTAGAGCTGAGTGGAAGATGGTCTGGAGTAGGGAGGGACTTCAGGCAGAGAGATCAACCAGAAACCCATTGCAATAGTCCAGATGTATGGTGATGAGGGCAGTGTCGGAAGAGAGAAGAGGGCACACATATAAGAGATATCACAAAGATAAAATTGATAGGATTTGGCAACAGACTGAATGAGTAAGGAGTCATGGATGACAAGTACATTGTGAACCTGGGTGACACAGGTGTGTCACAGGTATGAGGAATGAATTACTGCCAGTCCTCATTCACTTCCTTAGACTGCCTGGCTCACCTGGGAAAACATCTGGGACTGGATCTGTTCAAATTCCTCCAAACGTCCAAACTTGGACAGGGTGTAGTGGAACAAGGTCATAGCAGTCACCTTGTTACACTCAGCCCGTACTTTGCCGAGGGCCAGGATGACCTCTGTCCGGGTGAGCAGGGACACGAAAGTGAAGGCCTCCTTCTGTTCCAGGAAGGGATACTCAGGCATAGCAATGAGCCCTGGGGAGAAGAGAGAGGACGAATCCTTAGGGAAGTACCTAGGGAGTATCAGTCTCAGAGGTGGCACTTTGGGATCACAGAAGCAAACTTCTCTTAGCTATGGAAGGATGGGAGGTCAAAGACAAATAGGGAAAACTGGATCTTCCCTGAAATGAATAAGAATTAGAACTGAGAATAGCCTCAGGCAAACAGCAGACTCTCCACAGATTACTGAACACTGAGTGCCAGAGTTCAATTCAATTCAATAAACATTTATTTCGCAATTCTTGTGTGCAAGGCCTTAAAGTGATCCACTCCTTAAATGAGCGAGCCTCCCTCCAGGTCCAGGACCAGAGCAGGGCCTATGCGGTTCTCACCCTTGCTCAGGAACCAATCTGAGCCCTTGGGACCATCACTACAATCCAGTCTGCGGGGAGGGCCTGTGTAGCAGCTTTTGACCGGACAGGAGAGGGTAGGGGTGAAGATTTTGCACCTCTGGATGTGAGGCACAAACAGGTTTTTCCACCCTTGGTTATACTAGTCCTTATGGGTTTCTGCTGCCTGCTTCCCATCCACATCCTTCCTATATAGCTGGCTTTTCAGAACTGACCTCCTGCTAAATCTTCCGGTAACAACAAATGATTAAAATGCTTGATGGGAAAAGGGATAAATGAGAATAAGGCCATTTGTGTTTCAGCACTTCCTAGTTCTGTGACTATGGGCAAAGTGCTTCAGCTCTCCAGGTCTCAACTCCCTCTTCTATAAAATGGGCATAATTATACTCGTCCTTCCTCTCTCCACACTAAGGGCAAAGTACTCTAATAATACAAGTTAGCCTCTCTTCAGGAACTCCTAAAGCTTCAAAGAGCATGATGGGTGGTGGTTTCTAGGAGCTATTAACAAAAAGAAAATCCTTCTAGGGCATACTTCGGACCCAGCATGTGCTTGTCAAATGTGTGTTGTGTGCAAATGGAGCCATTATGGAGGGTGGGGTGGGGTGGGTTGGGTTGGCAGCACGTCCAGTGTGAGAAATCTGAGGATTTGTTGTGCTTCGTCATACATGTTGGTAACAAGGATTTGTTTTCTTGATCTCTCAATGGGGGAGAGGGAGAGGTGCAAGGGAGAAATGGTGAATTTAAAAAAACAATTAATTAAAAAAATGTATCAGACGTTGAAAGAACAATGCCGTAATCCTTCTTGGGCATGTCATATCTCTCCTTAAAGCAATCTCTGTTCTTTGGAGGCTTGTCTGAGCCAGGTTATTTAAGATGAATGAGTTACTGGCCCATGGAGGGAAAGCCATTCTTTGGGGGCCCCTAGGAGCCCTTTGAAAGACTGGGAAAGGAACACTCAGGGACCTTGGGGCCCACAGTTCAGTTCTGCTCCCAGGACCACCCCCAAATCCTGAAACACACTACAACCACACAGGTGGAAACCAGCATTCTGTCTCCCAAACCCTCTCTGACACAGAAGGAGCAAGGATAAATAGCTTCTAACCAAAGAGCAGGCAGCAGGGGTCTAGGGTCTGCCCTTTACTGCCACTTGCACAGTTTTATGACGTGGTTTCTCCACCTGCCAAGCAAGGCTAGAATGGGCTCTCAGCGACTCGAGTGGATGTTGGGGAGGAAGGCAGAAGGAGCACAGTTGATAATCCACACCATTGGACAACCCACAAATTACTTTTCTTTTTCTCTTGAATAAGTGCGATGATCCAGCACCCTAATTCTGCTCTACAGCCCTGTTTTTCCCGAGCCTGCAACACCTGGGTGACTGGAGAAGCAATGGAGGTGCCAGGGGAAGAGGAAGCTGCTATGAGAATTACACCATTAGAAATGACCACCAAGTAAACAAAGATGGAAATGCGACTGTGGAGGCCAACTAGCTTCCCAAGACCCCCGGAGGAACCTGGGCAATGAGGGTGAGACCCAAGGGATGCGATCAACGCGCAGGCCTGCTGGCATCTGAGCCTCCGCTAAGTCCCATCCATACCTTGCTTGGGCACTTTCTCCTCCACTCTATCTGGTAAAGTAACATAGAAAAACGTTTCTGGTTTGGAGGCCACAATCCGGTCAAAATTGATCTTGTTCATGGTCCGCTCATAGTCCAGGTTTGCCTCCTTGGCCAAAGCGGCCAGCTGTTCCGTGACTCTGTGTGACACAAGAGAAAAGGCGGTAAGAAGAGGGGAGGCGCTCTGTCCCCTGCCTGGCCTCGCCTGAAACTGCCTTGGGAGCTCTTCTAGGGCCAGGAGTGAGCTGGACAGGAAGTGAGCAGGCTGTACAACAGGGCAAGGGCAAAGCTGGTTACTGCTTCTGCCTTTCCCTTTGGAAGCCAAGGCCGTGAGCCTCCGAGCCTCAGCATCTCATGTGAGGACGCACATTTGGTGGATTCAGCCTGCCTTTCCCTTTTAGGGAGCTCCTCTTTGGCTACAGTATAGTTCTGAGTTCCAGATTTGGTTCTGTGTTCCTCCAAACAAGACAAGCCAGGCCCAGCCTGCCAGCCCTCCCCATCTTTGTGAAGCTGTACCCAGCCAAATCCATAACATCAGGCTGGAAGTCTATGCCACTGCAGAATGTGTTAAATGCAGGCCTCACTGCCCCGGGAGGGTCCCTTTCCCGGGAAGGATTGCCCTGACCATACACTGCTGTCTTTCAAGGCACCCTATCCCTGACAATGCTCCTGGCCCTGGGATGGTAGGTCTCAGGATGTTTCCAGAACCCAACCCACCCCCTGCTCCAGGAAGAGGGAAGAAGATATTTACAAGCTCCCTTTGCACATCCTGGGGGTACTCATGGTCCGCTGCTTGATCATGTTGAGGCTCTGCTCGCTGATGATCCTCAGCCCCTCAGTGGGCATACAGTCCACATACAGGTTGTACAGCAGGAGCGCCTCTGTCTTCTTTCGGAGGAGGCTGGCTGAGACCACACGCTTTGCAAACACACGCGGGTCCTCTGCACAGAAGAGCAACTGGATCCGGGGTACCCAATACTGACAAGACAGAAGGGGAGCTCTGCCTGCGGGAAGACACACAGTGGGAGGGACATGTGACCAGGCCCTTGGGGAGTCGTGAGAATTCCAGAAGAATTTTTTTTATGTCCTTGGCCCTGAGACCACCAGGTTGAATATTCAATGACCACCTGTTGTTGCTCAGAAAAGCAGCGTCATATAGTGAGATTATTGGACCTCTGGCCCCTGTTTGGAGACCTGGGTTCTAGCTTCAGCCCTACCATTAACCAGCTGTGTGACTTTGAGCAAGCCATTTCCCATAACCCAGGCTCTGTCTCACCTTCTGTAACATAGGCATTGTTCCTGACTCCCTCACAGGGCTATTTTGAGAACCATAATTTAATGTACGTGAAAGTACTTTAAAAACTGTTAAATCACATACAGGTGTGAGGGCTTATGAGTGATCAATGACGGACCTGACCTAGACTTGTCTTAGGGTAGGGATGCAAGGAAGAATCAAAGGGAGCCCACAAAAGTAGGGAGTACCTAAGTCCTTCCTGCTCCCAAGGGCCACAAAATAACCTTTTGGAGGGTCAAGATTCAAATGCTGCCCTCCACCTACAGCCATGCACCTGGTGCCCCAGAAATCCTTGGCCTAAAAGCTGGAGGAACACTAGGGAGTTCTAAGGAAAAGCTATCTTCTTCTTGAGCCCAGGAAAAGAGGTAGAGCTACCTGGAAGAAGATCAGCCCTGTAGAAAGCCATAAATATGTACCTTCTGGAGTCATGCCTCCATTCAGGATGAGGTTCCCCAGGTCATCCCGAATCAGGCCCCTCTCATCTGTCTTATGCACCAAATATAACTTCTTCTTGCTGTCATAATCCAGAACCCCAACGTGACTCCAGGCGTAAGTCAGACGATGGCTCTTGGGATCCTCTAGAAAGAGAAAGACCCCTCCCAAGGTTGGGCTCAGGGCAGAGAAATCTCTGTTCCTGGGTGGCATCCTCTCTGGGGGACAGCCTTGAGGATGGCTGGGGAATAAGGTGGAATGGGAGCCTTCTGTTCAAAGTTGTCAGGAAGGATGAAGGAGGAGAGGCATAGGAAGGGAAATAACATCGGGTTCTCCTTCTCTCACCTTTCCCCACTAGTGGGACAGTTATGGAAGTGGATAACAAGATACAGGATCCTCTTGTTTCCATTTTACTTTCTAATATGTACTCTGAGAAGTGGAAGAAAACACATTGCATGTTAACTCATCTAGAGCAAAGTAAATGGGAATGGCCCCAATTGGACCATAGAGAACCCACAACACAGAAATCCTGTCTACTGAGGAACATATAACTCCTCTTCTATGGAGTCCGACATCAGAAAGGAACCTCAAGTAATCTCTATAGACTATAAACGCCCCCAGGAGAACGTAAGCATCTTGAGGGCAGGGACTATGTCATTTTTGTCTCTGTATCCCCAACCTCTCGTCGAGTGTTTCATGCATAAAGGCACTTAAGAAATGGTTCTTTCAATCAATGAATGTTCAGGTTAACGGACAAGTCACCTAAAAGGGAAGAAAGCCATCTGCTCTCTTTGAGTATAAATACCTGAACTTGAGGCTGTTTCTAAGTCACATCAAGCCTTACTCTCCCGGGTTGTTTGTCCTTGTCTACACTATGTGGGGAACACATTTTCCTATTGGTCACTACAGGCCAAGCAGAGACTAAGCAAAACTTCATAGCTTGATCAGGAGACACAGAAATGAAGCCTAGATTTTCACTTAGCAGGTACGATAAGAAATAGGAGATTTGTCAGTGTTCAGTTTTAAAGGCAGATTTGCCTCTGCCCCAGCTTTGATGGTCTCTTTTTCACAGAGAACAGTACACGCTGTCCTCTAGAGTCGTGAAGACGAATCACACGAAGCATCATCTAAGGAACTGTGAGCTGAGCCTTGCCACTCTCTGGCTTCCAACACATGGCTGGCTCCTTGTTTCTCCCCACGCAGAAGGATGAAGATGGCTAGCCTCTGTCCTCAGACCACAAAGGCCATACTTCTTTGCACCTACCCGCTCATCTGTGTTGTGCCTTGGGTCTCCTCGTCTGAAATCAGCTCCCAGACATGCCCTTTGGCCAGAGCCAGCCTGTCTCCTTGGAATCAGCTTCCTGTTGTTCCCCTCAAGCTAGAGAGCACTCACTCACGCACTCCCCTCCTCCTAGAGAAGCCAATGTCCCAGCCACTGCCCTCTGCCTACTGCTGTTCCTGCAGCTCCAACACACACACACCAGCTGCATGAGGCTCCCGGTCCCTGCCTGTCCTGGCATCAGCTCCAGCTGAAGCCCTAAGCCCGGCACATCAGGTTCCAGACATGACAGAATCTTGTAACTCACTGAGGTAAGCCAGGCGAGGATTAGAGCCTGGGATGTCATGAAAAGAGAGAGACAGAGAAGATAAAGTATAACACATAAAGCTCTGGGTTCAAGTCCCAGCTCCTGCTGTTAGTTTATTGTCTGGACTTGGATAAGTTTCTTTCCCTTTCTAGGTCAGTTTTCTCATTTGTAACTGAGGCAGCAGGAAGCACAATCTCTCTCCCACCTGCCTCTAGGTTAGAATCACAAACTAGTAGAGCTCAAAGGAACCTAGACGCCACTTCTTCCAACTGCCTCATTTTTCTTTTCTAAGTTTCAATGGTGCCTTATCTTTGACACTGATCATTTACCAATACGCCCCCAAACACTGAACCCTCCATTATAATAAAGAAAAATTGTTAAGCAAAGCTGGCAGACTAAAGGACCTTTACTGAGAGCATACGCAACAATCCATTTCCATAGTTTCTATCAAGAGACAGAAGGTGAGGGACAGCCAGGTGGCACAGAGGATAAAGCTCTGGCCTTGGAGTCAGGAGGACCTGAGTTCAAATCGGGCCTCAGGCACGTAACACTTACTAGCTATGTGACCCTAGGCAAGTCATTTAACCCCAATTACCTCACCAAAAAGCAAAATAAATAAACAAAATGAATCTTAATTTTAAAAAAAAGAGAGAGAGAGAGAAGGCGAATGTGTTTTATCATCTGTTCTCTGGTATACAACAGGGTGAGCTTAAGTGTACAGGCCTACAAATCAGCCCTAGTCCCTTTCTGACTGTGCCCCGGAGAAAGAATGACCAGTCAGTCACTCCGCACAATTCTTTCCACACAGCCAACCTCTTCCTCAGCCATTTGGGTACCAGTCTGGCTTCTGGTGAGCCAAGAGCTTCTAGGAGAAAGGCTGCCTGTGGGGTCTGTTGCTGCTTCTGTAGCATCTAAGATGCTATCGGCTGGGACAGAGACCAGTCAGAGCGGAAGATACCAGTGGAGATTCCAGCGGGTACAGACGCCTTCCAGCTATGACAGTGCAAGGAAGGGAGGTAAGCAGTGGGACGGGATCAGGCTTCTCTCCCAGAGGCTCTTTTGTCTTCTGGTTTGAACTCAGAGGTTCTGGTCATGCAGTTCATTCCCCTAATCTTATTTCCCACACCACAGGATCAATAAGGGTTGTCAGGAGGATGCGTAAGTGGCAAATGCTCAAGTCAGAGTGACCCAAAAAGAAAAGACCTGCCACGCCTGAGCCACAGTATTTATTAACGGCCTCATCTGGAGACTGGTACTGAAAGGAGCAATGCCACCTGAAGATGTGGGTGAGGACAGAAGGTGTAAGTGGGCAAATGTCTGCAAAGACCCAAGGACTTGTCAGCCCCTTACCTGGGTATCATGGAAGCAAAAATACAGCTAAGTTGTGAATAAAAGAACAGAAAACTCTGAGGACTGGCTGTGGTGGGGAGGGTCCCATTCAGGACCATCCAATGTCCACTAACCCCAAAACCTCTTGAGAAGCAGAGGGAGGCACCGCCCCTGGCTGCACAGAGGCCGCCGTGGTTAACGCAGAAGCACGACCAGCAGAGGAAGCCAGAGCATCCCAGCTTCTTTCAGGCGGTTCCCAAGCCTGAAGAGCTACCCTATGTGCTCTGTCACAGATCCAGGGAGAATCGTCACTCAGAACAGTTTGCTTCCTCATCAGAAGATAAGAAGTTGATTTCTGAACAACCTCAGATCGCAAACCCCTTCTGAGATCCCTACAGTCCTTGGAAGTTCATCAGGGACTAGATTTCCCCTACGAGATGAGAAAGCTTGGTTTTTTCTTTCATTTCTTTTATCTATTTCTTGCCAATGTTAGTTGTAATTTTTTCCTTTCCTAATTATTTTGAATTGGGGTAAGCCCTTACAAGCACCCAGGCAGGGCCACCACCAGAAAGTGACCAGAGGAAAACAAACGGGTGGTGAGGAGCCTTGAGCCCAGGTTTTCTGAGGACAGGTTGAAGAAAATGGACATATTCAGCCTGGAGAAGACGTGATTCAGAAGGAACGAGAGAGTTGCCTTAAAAGCATTTGGAGGGCTGTCATGTGAAGGAGCTCCTTGAGAACAAGGGCCTTCTTTTGCCTTTCTTTGCATCCCCAGGGCTTAGCACACTGCCTGCCACATAGCAGGCATTTAACAAATGTAGACTGAGTGACTGACTGACTGACTGATGAGACTCGTTCCATTTGACCCTGGAGAGTGGAACAAGAGGCCACAGGTGGAAGTATCACAGAGGCCAGTTTAGGGTGGACGTCAGGAAAAGCTTCCTAAGAAACAGAGCCATCCAAAATTGATACAGGGGGCTCCTCCCCCCACCCCCAGCTTTGCCTGGCTTCCAAGCCAACTTTGCAGGCTTCTAAAAAGAGGCTGGATGACACTTTGTCAGGTATGTTATAGTGGGGCTTCCTTTTGCTCATGGGTTGGAATAGATAGCCACTAAGGTCCCTTCCAACTTTCAGATTCTGTGATTCTATAATTTTGTAAAGTGTCCTTTGCTCATTCAGTTTCCATGATCATTTATTTGGGGGTGAATACAATTTCTGGAGTCACTGGCTGAGGGCGCTCTGGACCCATATAAAGGACTGCTAATTTGGGGAGTGTCTAAAGCCAAAATGGACCTTACTGAGACCGGGGGAAATAATCAAGTACAGGATGGTGCTTAAACTTCTCCAGGTCCCATTAAGAACTATCCAGAATTGGAGATATGGACCAATGTGCCCCAAAGCACCGAGTCTGATTTCCTGGAATAGTTAATGCTTCACTAGGAGAAGAAACCAAGTTTGGAGAGTTGATCAAGCTGCTGAGTCTCCCAAGTTGATAAGATTCTCGAGCAGGGGTTCTTATCCTTTTTGGTGTTACAGTATAGTACAGCATAGTATAGAGCTTAGTATAGATGGCCCTTTGGCCGTCTGGTGAAGCCTCTGGACCTTGCTAGAATAATGGTTTCTTAAAAATCATAACTGAAGGAAATGCTAAACTTCAGTTAGAAATTAGTGAAAATGAAGATGTAACTTTTTCCCATCCAAGTTCACAGATCTCCTAAGATTTCCCCATGGATCCCTAAGGAGTCTGTGGACCCCGACTAAGAACTTTTGGTCTAGGGGCACCAAAAGGGCACCTCCAGTGGAAGTAGACATGCACACTGCTGCCTTGCTGAGAGGATACACAAAACCCCAGTGATCAGTTCCGGTGACTGAGGCTGCCTCTAAGAGAAACGAGAATTGTAGGAGATGAACTCTTGCTGAAAGCATCACCGTTGTCCTGTGGTCTATAAAAGCAGTCTGTGAAAGAGTTCCACTCCCCTTGGCTAAAACACTTGCTTTCCAAGACCTTTTCCCAAATAGATGGTTCTGCCAGCTCAGCAACTTGGAAGTGTGGGAGTTGTGGGAATTGAGTGAACCCCATTGACTCCACCTTGTCGCTCAATTCTGGATCTAGCTCGGTTCTCTTTCTATTCAATTATGGATCTGCTCCAATTTCTGTCTTGTGAAAAACTTTTATTCAATTGTGGTAATTGTGAGAAAACTTTATTGCACTGTCTGACCCTAGTCCTGTGTAACTGAGAAGCTGGGCCGCCTCTACCTGTTGTTTGGAGACCCTTAACATTCTGCTGATCTGAAACCCAGTCAGACCCAAAGATTAATACGAGGAGTTTTTTCACAATTACATCTCTCAAACAACCCAGGTCTTATCTGACAACTGACCCCATACTGGTCAATCAGTTACTGTTTCCTTGTTCCTTAGATTGAATACAGACACTTGAGGGGGAACACCTCTTTTTCTTATTTCAGAGAATTATACCTGCTTGCTCTTCTCTTCCCAACTTGGAAAGTCCCCAATCTCTCCTCCAATTAGAAATTAGATTACCTAATCTTCTATCTTGGTTAGCACCCTGTTAATTGCTTTCTTTTAATCCATAAAAATCTGTCTCTCTTTGCATTAGGGGTCCAGCGCCTAGTGGAGAGGGCCTACTCCTGATTTGTTGTACAACTGCATATCCTGACAATAAATTGTTATGCTCAGAAACTCGAATTTCTGTTTTCTCAGTCATTTCAATTCATCCACACCTCTCAGAAGAACACATTCCTGATGACCAAAGCTGGCTCAAAGTTACTCCAAAGAACATTTGTGAGCCCAAGCTCTTTGAAAAGGAGCTGGTACACAAAGTACGTGTCCCTGAAGGTGGTTTCGGAACCAAATCTTTCAGCTTTAACATCCAGGATCAGAGAACAAGGAACAATTAAGTTAAATCATTTGAGTAATTATTTTCAAGGTTTAAGATACACAGTCTGGGGGGGGTCTACCTAGTTTCAACAACTTGATACTAGTATAAAATTTAAGAAGGAAACAAAATAAAATCTCAGCCAAAAAATGAAAATAAATAAAAATAAAATGCACACCCCAACTAAACTGACACAACCATCCCTTCACTATCCTACTAATGCACTTACTCCTTTGCCAGCAGATAAGGGGTATGACATAGCCTTCCAGTTAGCTCATGTAGGAAGTGCTGAATTGTGCCCACATGTCCTATGGTCTATGCAAATGTTGCTGGTCTTGGACTAGAAGACCTTAAAGGGCCAGGATTGTTTTCCTTTCTTCCCTCCAGATTCCATGGCCCTTCCTTTCACAGAATCCTAGACCTCAGACCTGAATGTGGGGCATCAGACCAGGTCATCGAGACCAGTCACTGTCCAGGACAGAAGCCTCGGCTTGCAGACCTCCAGCAACGCCGAATGCCTTCAGCCTTGGGGTAGCCCTCTGCACTGCTGGACAGCTCTGACAGGCCAAAATCTGCCTCTCTGAAAGCTCCACCCATTGTTCTTACTTCTGCCCTTTGAGACAAAGAAGTCTGATTTCTCTCCTACATCTTCTCCTTCCCAGGTTAAATGTTTGCCATTTTTTTCAATGGCTTCTTGCATGGCAGTTTCATGATGGGCCTCACTGTCCTCACAGCCCTTAGGTGATGTGTTCCAGCTTGTCACTTGTTCTGTATACTAATCTTGTTCTAATCTGAATTGTAGTTACTTTATGTACTTGTCTTTTTTCCTTACTAGCCAGTAAGCTTCAGCAAGGTAGGGGTGGGGTCTTGTTGACCTCTTCATTTTCTTCAGAACAAGCCCAATCTCCTGTATTGAGGAGGTTGAGTATTGGGAAGAACTCTCAAAGTCAGAAGACGGAGGGTCTAAGCCTCCCTCTGTAACCTTGGGCAAATCACATCCCTTTTCTTACCTCCACATCCCTATCTGTAAAATGAGAGAGTGAACCATCTTTATCTCTTAGGTTCCGTGTAGTTCTAACAACCCAGGAGTTTATGATCCTATCTACAACACCTAGTCCAGCCCAGAGCCCAGTGGTAATAATAACAGCTAACCTTAACAGTCCAGCTTAAAATTGCAAAGTACTTTAGAGCCATCATCTTAGGTGAGCCTCCCAATAAGGCCACAAGTAACTACAAAGAGAATGGAAGGGCTGGTGAGGCAGCTGGCTTCATCGGGATCGCTTACCATGACCCAGGAAATCATCTGCAGGTAAAAGGGCTTTTCCGGGAACTGGTTTTCTGTCTTCACACCCTGGCTCCAGACCCAATGCTAGCCACTCCTCAGGGCTTCGGCAATCAAACTCCTCATCATCAAACACCTAGTGGAAAAGCCAAGACTTGGTAATAGGGGCCAGAAATCTCCCCAGCCTTCATAGCCTCAAAATGAGTGAGGACAGGGGAGGAAATGGCCTGGAAACACGATCAGGTGGCCAGGCTTTCTAGACCACAAACAGGGTTTGACCAAAGAGAGCAATCTGAGGGACAGAAGTCAGACAATAGGCTACCCTACATAGCCATGGACAGCTGGACTCAAACACTTCCTCTGCTGTCCTTTAGTGTGTACCGGAAACAGGACAAACTCCTAGAGCCAGCAGAATCCTAGACCTGACAGGCAGGCTCAAAACCCACCCCAGGAAAAACTCAAAGAACCACCAAGCTATTTCTAGGGGAAGAATTCTCAACTAAACAAGAGCTCGAGGTGATCAAAAAGATAAAATCGAAAAGCTTTTGCATGAGCAAAATCAATGTAGGGAGGATTAAGACAGAAGCGCTTAAATGGGGAAATTTTTGCAACAAATCTCTCTTATAAAGAACTTACAACCAAGACATGTAAGGAATTGATACAGACATAAGAAGAAGAGAAGTGGTCAAAGGTTATTAGCAACCAGTCTTTGAAAGAAGAAATGAAGCCATCAACAACCATATGAAAAAAAATCTCCAAATTACTACTAATAAGAGAAATATAAATTAAAACAACTCTGAGATTTCACCTCACACAGACCAGATTGGCAAAAATGACAAAAATGACAAAATATAAAAACAGTAAATGCTGGGAGGGCTGGTAGTAGGAGGATAGTTAGTAGGAAGTAATAGAGATTTTCCAAAGAAAAAAAAGAACATTAATAAAACATTAAAAATACACAGAAAACAAAAATAAGTTCAGAAAAGGGCACAAAGAAGGCAATTTCAGTGCTACTTTGTTGAATTTAATGTATAATTTTAAAAATCAAACCGTGTAGCACGCATTTTACTAACAGCCATCAGACAAATCCGTAGCAGCCACTACACTCTGTCAGCTCTCTTCATCTTTAGAGATTAACTTGAGGGTTGACCACTACTTATATCATCCAAAGTGAATTATGATCCACATAAAGTCCTGTACTATGCTTATCTGTGTCTGTGCCGTATTTCCCTTACCAGACTGAGCACCATTAAAATACAAGCTTTATCTCCCTAGTGCCAAACACAGATCACTGTACTTAGTAGGTGCTCGGTATTGTTTGGTGAATGAATGGGTGAATGAATGAATGGATGAATGATCAAGAGGTGGCAAAGTGTCCTGATTGCCTGATTCTGGAACTGATCTACAAAAAGTAGAGGTGAAGATGGCAGGCAATTGGTGATATAAGAACAGAGGGAGACAAGGGCTGGGTACATATTATTTGGGTACATTTATCTGCATAGATAAACTTGAATCCATGGGAGCTAACAAGCTCACTGAGAATAGAGAAGAACTTGGGGTTTGCATAACCTCTTAGACTCCCAGTTTCCTCATTTGTATATAATTCTTCTTATCACAACTTTGTGCTATGCTGGTAGTGTGTGTTTCCCTCTCATTAGATGCTTACGGAACTCAAATTAGTCTTAAAGTTTGGGAGAGTGCGGGCAGTAGGTCACACAGCTAACTGCTCCTATCTTGGAGTGTCAGGGTCTTTGATCTCATAAGGATCAGGGTTAGAAAGCTTGTGAACTATAAGCCCTGACTGTCACAAGCACTTGCTAATGTTCAAGCTGGCCATATTCCTTTTCGAAGGGGACTAGCGCTGCTAGTTTCTAGCCATCCTGGGCCACTGCATCATCATCATCTCAGAAGAGTCTCCTAATCTTGGGGGCAGCTAAGTGGTGCAGTGGATAGAACAACGGCCCTGGAGTCAGGAGGACCTGAGTTCAAATCCGGGCTCAGACCAAACACTTGACACTTACTAGCTGTGTGACCCTGGGCAAGTCACTTAACCCCAATTGCCTAAAAAAAGAGTTTCCTAATCTAGTAGCTAAATTCTTCCTCCAGCCAACCCCTTCTCAGCCATTAGTATTGCTTTCTCACCTGCAGTGGAAGATAGATAGGGAAGAGAGGGTCATTCTTCTGCTCAATGGGCTGCATGTTCTTGGGATCTGGGTGTCTGGGCATTAGCAAATTTGAGTCTATACCTTCTGCAGTTAAGAGCTTGTTTATATCTAGATTTAAGTACTGCCGCCTCCTCCTAGAAGGGAGAGAATAAAAGAGATGTCACTGTTGACCACATAAGACATTCAGTGATTGCTAGTCATTGTTGCAACTGCTTTCCAGGGCACATAAAGGGAGACCAACTCGGGTTCTGGCTAACCCTTTCACGTTTCCAAAGTCGTACAGGGCTGTGGGGAGCAGAAGTGGCTAGGAACGGGCCAGCAAGCCCACTGGGCCCTTGGGGCATCTCTGGAGTACAAGACTGAGGACTGATGATCAGAACTTTAGATACTCATCCTAGTCAGTCTCTTTTTATCTAAAATCAAGACATTTTTCCTAAAATAATGAAAGTAATTTGGCCATATCATGAAGGCAAAGGGCTGACATAGTTGATTTTTTTAAACAAAAACCATTTGCATAAATTTAATGCTTGGCAGTTCATGCTGGTGAACTCGAGCAAGGGAACTTTGCTCAGCTGAAGCATCTCAGGGTGTGTTCAGTACATGCCCTGTCTTTGTTGATGTGTTCTTTCCCAGGGATAATGTTATATATGCCATAGAGCATAGAGAGGATTTTTTCTTTAAGAAAATGGGTGCATATGAGATTCCCACCCCGTTTCCTTCAGATTAACTGAAAAACTAAAGTCAGAACAGATTTTGAAGTAATATTTGAGGTAAAAAAAAAGTGTTTTTCCATTGCCTGCACTCTCCCTCTTCCTCCCCAAACTCCCATAGCCCCTTGTGCCTGGCCCCAGGAGTTACCTCTCTATCTCAGTCTTCCTTGGGCAATGGCCAGGAAGGGTGTGGAAGGGCACCTGAACTTTGGGCTCATAAGCCTTGAGAGGAAAATCTGATTTCACCAAGATTTCAGTGGTGGGCCCGATCCTTTGCTGGGTTAAGTGTTGTTCAAAATCTTCAGGAATCTCGAAGGTCGTAACTGGGGAAAACAAAAGCATGAGTTAAACATGAAGACTGAGCCCTGTGGCTGGGAAATGGAGTGTCAATAAGCCTGATAGGGCAGGCCTTAGACTGGGGACCTCCACAGAGAAGGCTTGAGATTCCCAGGTCTTTCCTGCCTACTGAAAAATTTGTTTCTTACATCTGCTTAACAGATTGCTCAGAGGAGCTTTAACAACTTTAAAAAGCTTATACTCCAGTTAAAGTACAAAACTCCTTCTCCCCCAAGTCACTAGATTATAAAATCATAGCTTTAGAACTAAAAGGGACCTTAAAAGGTCATCTGTCTCAACCCCCTGGTTTTCTATAAAAGGTCATTACTGGTAGGAATAACCTCTGCTAAGGTCCCTGCCACACAGACTATGTTAGTTTTCTCTTAAAGGCAATGAAACTTTCCTCAAGACCTTATTGATCCAATACCATTGGACATAGCTCATAACATCAACATAGCTTCCTCGTGGCCTGAGTATCAAAGCCCAGAGATCCTCAGGTTTGATGCATACTCCTGATTGGGCATGCCACCATGGCAAACACAGACAGGGGAGCCAGGCACTCACCCCCCCAAAATCAATGCTGTGTCCTTACTGAACAGCCTTTCCATGCTATTGTAAAGTAAATCTCCTTTTGTTAAACATTAGATGGCCTACAAGTATCTTATTTTGTTCCACTCCCAAGCCTGAACCATTGGCCTGAACTGAGTAAAGAAGATCTAAGAAGGGGTACTTACTTTGCATGAGCACTAGGGGAGGGTCACTAGCAGGGCAGTGTGCCTAGCTACTCTGGTCATTAGGTGGTGGTCCCGCTCCCTTCCACCAGGCATGTATAAGTAGCTCCAAGGTTCCAATCTTGAATAATCTGCTCACTGCCAACTGAGCATGCTCAGACTATAGCCTCCTTGGTTCATCAATCCAAGTTTCTCTAAAGGTATGATTTAATCCCATTAAAATACACTTGCCCCATCCCCATTCCATAGTATCCTAATATCTTTCCCAGCTTCATATCATCTGAAAGGATTCCTCATTCACACAAAGATTGGAGTACAAACACTAAATGAAATAAAAAATGAAAGGTAGCACATTAACAGCGGATAGCAGCTTGATTAGACCACAATCATCCACCCTCTTCTGAATATCCCAACTTCCCCAGAGCTGTTCTCATGCTCAACGTCTCCCTGCCATCACAGTGGCTCAAGTGCACTCAGAAGCCTGGAAATCAGAGCTTGGTCTCCAAGTCATAAGGGAGTGACGTGGAGAAAAGTTCTTGTTACACCACTATCCCATTAGCCAAGTCTTACTACGTGGTCGATGATTATCATCCACTCTGACTTCTAAAGAGAGAGCATTTGCTTCCAGGCTTATTATCTATCACCAAGCAAAACCTGTGGTCCAGTGGTCCAGTGCTTCAGCTGCCTGGTCACCAGAGGTACCAAGGTCAGGCACCAGCCATCTCAGGATCTTCTCCCAGGGGCCACCACCTGCTTGGTGCACAGCCATGTACCATCTCTGGTATTTCTATAAAACCTGGTAACTCACTTTTAAACGTCTCCCTCACAATACAACATTACAGCCAACTCAAGCATTTCATTCAAAGTCAGTCCCTGAGGCTACTCCGTCCTATACTACCCATATCTTTAGAATTTTCAAAATAAAGACCAAGCCAGAGAAACATAGACCATCTGGACAATGGGAGAGTATAACAGGAAATGTTATGTAGAGATGAGGAAACTGAGGCTCAGAGAGGTTAGAAAACCTCTGAATTCTTCCCTTTTCTCTTTCTCAGTGAACTCATCAGCTCCAATGAGTTCAGTAATTATTTCTATGCAGATAACACTCAAATTTACATATCCAGCCTACACCTCTCCTCTGAGCTCCCCTCCTGCATCAACCATGGCTCACACTCAACATCTCAAAAACAAAACTAACATCTTTCCCAAAGAACCCACTCTCCTCCCCCAAACTGTCCTATTCCTATCAAGAACACCACTATCAGCCACACAGGTTTGTAACCTCAGCATCTTTCTCATCTCCACAAGCACCCCACATATTTGAGTGAGCTGCCAGATCTTGTTTTTCCACACTCACACAGCCCTCACTCTGGCACTCATTACCTCTCACCTAGCCCGCTGCAATAGCCTGCTATCTGGTCTCCTTGCCTCCAGCCTCCACCCTCTCCAACCCACCCTCTACAGAGCTGGCAAAGGGATTTTCCTAAAGTGCGAATCTGACTATGTCACTCCCACACTCAGTAAATTCCAGAGGCTCCCTGTTATCTCTAGGATCAAATATAGCCTCCTCTCTATGCTATGTAAAGCTCTTCCAGCCTTACTATACATTACTCCCCTTCACACATGCTGCCCTGCCCTGCAGCCAGAAATGTGCTCATCACACACATGACTCTATCCCTATCCATCCCTGTGCCTGCAATGCTATGCCTTTACCTCTTACAATCCCTGCTTCCTTCAAAACTCAAGCACCACTTTTTATGGGAGGTGCCCCTGATCCTCCCACTTCCAGGTAACTTTTCTACTGGACCCCTCAATTACCTATATTTATTTTGCATGGTTTTTACACGTTTTGTCTCCCCTTACAGAATGCAAGCTCCCTGAGGACAGAGTTTACCTTCCAACACATAAAAAGCTCTTAATAAATGCCTACTGAAGAGACATATGAATGGCTGCAGAGTGAATCAAGTAGAGCCAGAGAACACTTGGCACAGGCACAATCATGTCAATGAAAAGAACACAGAAGAAAACAGACTAGTAGGTCACTATCATGATCTTCTCAGCCCTGACGGTCCCTGTGTCCGCTGCTTTGACTTAAATGTCTTTAATAACAATGGAAGGGGAGGAGGGGACAGAGGAGGGGAGAGAGGAGGACATCCAGAAGAGACTGTCATGTGAGGGAGAAGAGAAAGAGAAAAGAGTGAAGAAAAGATTTGTGCCTGAGCCTAAGAGACTCCTTTCTTAGGGGGTCTCCTGTCCCAGAGAGCTGTACAGGCCCATTAAGGTCTGTTCAAGCACTACCCTGAGTGGGAAACAGACTCCTTTGCAGACTTCTGGTTCATTCCAGCTCTTTGCCTCTCAGTCAGCCAGGCAACAAGCATTTATTAAAACCCTTACTGTGTGCAAGGCACTGTCCTGAGCACTGGGGATACAAAGAAAGGCAAAACCACTGCTACCACATTGGAAAAGGGCAAACCCCTGAATTTCACAAAGAAGAATGGGATGTCTACAAACTCTAGGCTTATGAGTTTGACTTCGATTCTGGGCAAGATTCTAGAATGTACTGTTAAAGGAATAGATTCATCTTTAGGAAGGGCAGCAAGGAAAATAACAGTAACTCCCATTTGTATGGTTCTTTCAGGTTCACAAAGTGCTTTACAGACAATTGTCTTATTTGGCCTCACAACAAACCTGTAAGGGAGATGCTATTATCATCTCTATTTTCAGATGTAGAAACTGAGGCCCCCTTGCCCATGGCCCCAAAGCTACTGAGTAGCTGAGGCAGGATTTGAACACAGATCTTCCAATTCCAAGACAGCGCTCTCTCCACTACATGATTCCGCCTCTTCATTCAGAACAGGCCATGCCAGAACCATTTCTCTGATCAGGAGAAAGCTGCAGACACCACCATCAGCAAGCCTAGGTTTCAGCCAAGCATTTGATGGAGCTTCTCTTCTGCTCCTGGTGGGACAGGTGAGCACACAGCAAGGTGGATTTAGAACTTGTAGCATTACATCATTTGAGTAATCATTAATGAGTGGATGGAAGTCCCTGGTGAAGTATCCCAGGGATGTGCCCTTGGCCCTGCACTGTTGAACTTTTTTTAATCAATGACTTCAGGGAGGACACAGGCCCTGTACTTATCAGATTTGCTTCAAACACAAAACTGGGTAAGAGAGCTAACACAAGTGCTGAAACTAGCACTTTCGGCTCCAGGGAACCAGGAAGAGCATCACTACCAGGGCAAGCAAGCAGCAGGAACTACACCCTCAAATCAACTTTAACTTGGAAATAACACAAGGAATTAGCATAAGTCAAACAGAACTAGCCAAATATAGTGGCTAGGGGGACTTCAGAAAAAGATCACTTCAGGAAGTGATCACAGATGTCATCATCTACCCCAATCTGAGGGATGTGGGGTCCTAAGCCTTTTCTTGTTCACCATTAAGGATCTTTACTACATTAATAGGCAGGAAGGAAAGTAGCCCTGGGATCATTACTTCTCCTTCCTTCCTAGAGGAGGAGCTAGATGGCTCTGGAGGCATAGGGGTGACCATGCCAACTTAATGGGCAGTTTTGCCTTTCACCAAAGCCTGAGGATGTCAGAACCAAGCATCCTTTTTCCTTTGGGCCCAGCCAGGCCCCTGATCCAAGGTTCAGACCAGAGGGTCCACAGCGTCTCCCCAGCACCTGACTTAGCCTGCAAGGCAAGGCAGGGCAGGAAGGAGCATCCAACTGGTGCTGATGGGCTCCCACTTCCTCCCACGTCCCAAGAGGTCTATACTTCCCCACACTGCATAATCTTCCAGGTACCTGGGCGGCCTAAGTTAAATGAGGAGAAGATACATGGGCCACAACAATAGGCTTCGTGCTATGACCTCTTCCCTATCCTCACAAAGGGAGTGAAACCTCTGGGCCACATCTGTACGGAGCCTGCGTTGGGTGGGGGTAAGCCCCCGTTCCTACTTCCCCCTCATCTGGGTAGATGAGACTTTCGCTACCCCCTGCTTAGTGCTGGACCTCACCACCAGGGAAGGAGGGAGAGCCAAGTGACAGGGGATGTCCTTGCACAAAGACCAGCACAGGGCAGAGGCGTATGAACACAGACAAGTGATTAAGCTCCTCTTCTCCCCCACAGGCCATCCTGCACCAGCCAACTGGGCCCAACTAGTGCCTACTTAGCAAGAATAATTAAAATAAGAAGCAATTTCCTTCATCTCTCTCCCTATCAGAGTCAGATTCCTAGAAAAAAGCATCCATAATCTTTGCCTCCACTGCCTCTCCTCCCACACATTGCTCAGTCCCCTGCAATCTGGCTGTAGATGTCACCTTGCAAATGAAACTCCTCTCTCCAAAGTTATTAGCAATTTCTTAATTGCTAAATAAAACAGCCTTCTCATTACTTATCCTTGACCGCTCTGTGGTGACCATCCCCCCCCTCCAGGATGCTCTTCTTCTTCAGCCTTCATCATTCTGCTCTCTCTGCATCCCATTCCTACCTATCTGATCAATCTTTTCCAGGCATCTTTTCAAGATCATCAGCCATGGCTCACCCCTAACTGCAGACATCCCCAGAGGCTCTGTCTTGGGCCCGATCTCTTTTCAGGACACTCTGTCCTGGCTGTTGATCTTAGTTTTTTCATCACTGTAGATTTGCATATACGGCCCTTATCTCTTCTGAGCCCGATTCTTACATCACCAACTGCCTATCTGGCATCTCCATCTGGATATCCCATAGTCTTACACGTGTCCAAAACTGAACTCTCACCCCGATTCTCCCCCCCACCAGTCCAAACCCACTCCATTGCCAAATGTCCCTGTTTTTGTCAAGAACAAGTGTCCAGTCACCCAGGTTCACACGCTTGGCACCTTTTTCATTTCCTTCCTCTCCCTCTCATCCATCATATCTGGTCAATTGCCAAGTCTTACAGATTCTACCTCCCTGACATCTCTTGTGCCTATCACCTTCTCTCCATTCACCTGGCCACCAAACTTGTTCAGGCCCCCACCATCTCCCATTGGGACCATTGTAATAGCCAATAACTGGACTCTCAGCTTCCAGATTCTTGTTCTCCAAATGCCAAACTGGTCTGACCATGTCACTGCCCTGCTCAAGAGCCTTCAAAGACTCCCTATTGCCACCAAATACAAACACTCCAGCTTGGTATTTAAAGCCCTTTACAAACTGCCTCTGGATTACTTTTCCAAGCTCATTTCACATTATTCCCCCTCCTACACTCTACATTCCAACCAAAGTGACCTTCTGGTCATTAGTCATAGACATCATTCCATTTGCCACCACCTCTGTGGCTTTGCCAAGCTGATGGCTGTGCCTGAAATGCATTTCCTCCTTGTCTCGCCCCCTTAGAGTCCTTAGCTTTTTTCAAAGCTCAGTTCCTGTGCTACCTACCTTCTTCATCCCACTTTGCTGGTACTCTCTCTCCCTCCTCAGATTATCATATATCTACTTGCCTGTTTGCCTGTAGAAGCCCCCCACTTCAGTTCCCCAGGACATCTAACTCTACCCCATCCCCAACTTCTCCATCCTCTCATCCCATTTACAAAATCTCCTGTTTATGGACCTGAATCTTGGGTCCCCATTAAGAAAGGCAGAGTGTGGGGCAGCTAGGTGGTGCAGTGGATAGAGCACTGGCCCTGGAGTCAGGAGGACCTGAGTTCAAATCTGGCCTCAGATACTTGACACTTACTAGGTGTGTGACCCTGGGCAAATCACTTAACCCCATTGCCTAGCCAAAAAAAAAAAAAAAAGAAAGAAAGAAAGAAAGAAAAGAAAGGCAGAGTGTGTGGAGTGAGAGAAGTCATATCCTTATTAGTCAGACTATGGAGCACTGGGTTTCTTTCTGCGTGTCACATCTTAGGAAGGCCAATGACACACTGGAGAATGTGCCAAGATAGTGAGGGCACTAAGGACCAGACTGCACAAGAACTGGATGAAAGAATGAGGAATATTTAGACTGAAACAGAGGAAACTTAGGGGGATGTGAAGAATTGCCAGGTGGAAAAAGGATCTGGACTGGTTCTACTTGACCCCAGAGGAGAGTACTGGGCAGAAACTGCACCATCAGAGGTTAGTTAGAACTCAAAATGTAACAGGTCTCCTAATGCCTTCTATACCTGACTCTGGGAGCCACTTAGGACCTGTCAAAGAGGATAAAATAAGGCATGCCCATGCTTTTGCCTCCCTGAGACTAGAGGTTCCACTGACAGCTTGAAAGGAGGCCTGGGCATTAACAACTGCCCGGAGTAAAGGACAGTGGAGGAAGCCCGGTCTTCGTCCCTCGTGAGGCAGACATTTAAGGAACTCCCAAATGACACCCAGACCCTCCCAGAGACCATCTTCCTGTGCCGTTCCTTGTGGTAAGAAAAGAGCAAGGTGAAAACAAAGAAGACCCTGGGGCCTGTTAAGAAGAGTCTTCAAACAGATGCTGGGTCTTAACACTTCTTTTCTCCCCAGCAGAGACCAGTCTAAAGTCAAATGTCTGATTCTTCCAGGTTTGGCCCCAGACGAGCCTGGACTCTATAAAGCAAAGATCTGCTGTTCCCACTCACCTCCCTAACTTACTAATGCTTCAACAGCTGGCCATCACAGACCCCTGGTAACCTGGGAAGACCCTACTTTAGGGCTTTCAAGTTTCCATTTTATCTGTATCTTTCTGATATGGACTGTCCCAGGTGAAGCTGCTAGGAGGAAGCAGAGGCCCGCTAGGTTCTGGTGCATGGGCCTGCTGGATGGAGGGCACAACCTGACGGGTCCTTGACTCTGGATCCCCCCCGCCATGTGGGGGCAGCATGATCACTCCCAGCCTACCCTGACAGGCCATCTCCCCCTCAGAAGAGCAGCCCAGAGGGAGAGAAAGAAATGACTTGTAGTGCCAGCTGTGTGTGTGACCTTGGGGAAGTCACTTCCCTTCTCTAAGATTCAGGTTCTCAGGTGAGGGGTGGAAAATGAGAAGAATCATGCCTCCCAGAATCTCAGAGTTGGAAGGAACCTCACAAGTCAGTCAATCCAACCTGCGCCTGAAAAGGAACCCCCTATGCTGACAAGTCATTCAGCTTCTGCTTGAAAGTGTACAGTGACAGGGATCTCACTACTCCCTGAGGCAGCCTATTCTACTTTGGGAGAGTTTTAAATGTTAGGAACTTTTTTACTCATGGAGCTAAAATCTGCCTCTGCCACTTCCTCTCATCACGGCGCCTTGGTCCTGCCTCACCTATTTCCAATGAGTGTAATCAAAAACAAATGAGCTAAGAATGCAGTCACAGGGAGCCCTAGGACCACAGGCCAGCCCCGAATGTTCAACTGGCAGCCACTTGAGGGGGCACAGCTCATTGTCCCCCTGCCAGCAGCAAGGATGAGCAAACTTGGCTCCCTTTGCCCAAGACTCTCACTGCTGGGGACAGCCAGGAAGCCTCTAGGACACTAAGCGGCTAAGCAGACAAGGTGAATGAATCAGTGAATCCAGATGAATATGAGGACCCCAGAATGCTTGATTAAAGCCCCCTGCCCTCTGCAACTGCCTCTTCATGAGGATGCTCACAAGAGCTGCTCCCATTGATACAGACCATTCTGCATGGTACGCAAAGCCCCTTCCTCACCATACCCTTGGCAAGGTTCAGATATAGGGATCATTTCCTCCTTTTCCAGAGGCCATACTCATCATTACATAAGAATTCCTCAAAGTTAATCAGCACCAAGAGCTACCCTGGGGCACACAGGCACCAGCCATGTCAGTTTCTGCATGGCCACAGCCTTGAGGAATCCTTTCTGCTCAGGGAAACCTGGGTAAGAGGAACTACTCTGCTCATGCCCCGGCTCCACCCCAGCAGGCCAGAGATGGGAAACCATCAAGTCTCTTGAACACGCACTTACCATTTGGGGTGAATTCATCAAGGTCTGCCTGTCGGAGGAGGTCCTTGTGCACAATGGCACCGGTACAAACATCCTGAAATCAAAGACATTGAGAATCATCTGGAGAATGGTGGGGGCAACACCCATGGACCCTCCCAGAGAGGCCAGAGAGAAGATAAGTTACTGCTTTAATGAATGCCCGTTCCACCAAAGCCCTGGGCCTCCAATGCCACAAACGTTCTCCTTCAAGGATGACTACGCTTATGGTATCTATTATTTAATCATTATTTATTCATGAACAGGCAGTTCTCAAGGGAAGAAACTATCTAAAGCAATATGTGAACAGTAATATGAAGGGTATTTATACCCATATGGAAAAAATGCTCCAAGTCACTAACAATTAGAGAAGTGCAAATTAAGGCAACTCTGAGGTTCTACCTCACATCTGCAGATTGGCAAAGTTGACAAAAAGGGAAAATGACGAATGTTGGAGGGGCTGTGGGAAAACAGGCACATTGGGGCACTGCTGGTAAAGCTGTGAATCAGTGCAGCCATTCTGGAAAGCAATTTGGAACTGTCAAAGTTATTAAGCTGTGCATATCCTTTGACTCAGCAATTCCACCATGAGGACTACATCCCAGAGATTTTTTTTATTAGTTTATTTATTTTTAGTTTTTAACATGCACTTCCATAAGATTTTGAGTTCTAAATTTTCTCCCTTTCCCTCCCCTTCCCCCTCCCTAAGAAGGTGTGCAATTTGATTTTTTTTATTAATTTATTAATTTATTCTGGAGATTTTTTTAAAAGGAGAAATGGACCCATATGTACAAAAATATATATAGCAGCCCTTTTTGTAGTAGCAAAGAAATGGAAACTAAGGCCTATCACCTGGGAAATAGATGAACAAAGTATGGCATAAGAATGTAATGGAAAACTGAAACCTGGAAGACTTGTATGAACTGATAACAGAGTAAATCGAGCAAAACCAGAATAATTTATAGTACATCAATATTGTAATAAATGAACAATTTTGAAAGGCTTAGGAGCTCTGAATGTCACCATGATCAACCATGATTCTAAAGAGCCAATGACAAAAAATGCTGCCCACCTCATGACAGAGAGGGGATGGACTGATATGTAGGATGGGACAAAAATTTGTGAACATTGGCCAGTGGTGGGATTTGTTTTGCCTGACTATGCTTGTTTGTCACGAGGGTTTTGCAATTTTTTTTTCTGGGAGTAGGGGAAAGATGGGAGGGAAGAAAAAAATACATGGTAATTTAAAATATAAAAATATAACTGCTTTAAAAATTGAAAAAGAGTAAGAGTGGGAGCTATGATCTTCAGGCCACTCCCCCCCTCCCAAAAAAAAAACAACCCATATCAGTTAGAAGCAAGTCTTACTGGTTGTTTTGATCTCAAAATGAACTGGACAGACAGCTTATTATGCTACTTTCTCCTAGGTCCCACCCCCTACTTCTCATTCCAGCTGAAGTGATCTCTCCCTCTTCACATTTTCTTAAAATAGCTTAGTGGATCTCTCATGGCATCATAGAATTTAGATGTGAAACAGACCATAGAGATACAATCCTTTCATTTTAAAGATGAGCTAACTGGGACTTACAAAGTTAAGGTGACTTGCCCAAGGTCACACAATGAGCGAGTAGCAGATCAGACATTTGATGCCAAATCCTCTTTCAGGTGTACTAGGAGGGAGAAAGTAGGTGGAAGGAAAACCCTCCCTCTTCTCCTCCCTCCTGGGACCCCAAAAGGTTGATTGACCCAAGGTCACACAGGTCGTGTATGGCAGTGTGACCCTCACAACTACCCAGTGAATTAGGTGGTACAAATCTGATTAATTCCATTTTACAGATGAGGATACTGAGGCTGACAGGCTTTAACTGACTTGCCCAAAGTCACACAGCCGGTATATGTGACAGTTCGGTCTCAACCAAGGTCTTCAAGCTCTGGGACTCACTCGCCTTCTGAAACAACCTTGTCATGTAAGTGGAAGAACAGATCCAGGGCTGACTCCCTCTCCTCCTCTTCACTCACCTCCCTCTGCAGTTGTCTTGCTCTTCCCTCACTCCCAATTCTCTCCTCAGGAAAGGATCTTTGCCAGTAAGGTGTCCAATGTTATCCCAGGCTTCGCCAGTGTCTTGGCACTTAGCAGGGATTGAAGCCTTAAGCTGAAGATGACCCCTTGATGGTGGACTGATAATAGGACCTCACAATTCTTTATCAGCTCTTTCTTCAGGACACCCATGCCAGAAGGGTGGTCTGAGTCCTACTATCCCCATTTTTATAGAAGAGGAAACTGAGGCCCAGAGAACATGGATATCTTAGGGCAGGTCACACCCAGAGAAAGCTACTCACTAGAGGGGCGGCCTACAAGACCCTTCTATGCTCAGGGCTTCAGGGAGAAGCTAGAAAGCAGGAAGCTAGCAGGGAGGAAGGGAGGAAGAACTCCCTGCTGGCTCTCAGCGTGGTACATGCAGCATGTCATTGGAGCTAGGGTTTCAGAGCAACACCTGGGTCTCTACGGGTGCCTGCAAACCCATTTTTCTCCCAAGTCTATGTCTAGGCCCCAACAACTGGCAGATGTGTTACGTCCTACAGATGCTGGAAAGTAAGAAGTCATTAGAGGCAAGCTTCCCTGCTGACTGAATTTAGATGTAAGAGGATGGAATCCCTCCAGTGTCAGCATAGGGGTGAAAGAATCAAATCAGGCAAATGGGCATTGTGGAATAGAAACAGAAAATGGCAGACCTGGGTGGTTCTCATCATCTAGCTCCCCCACTTCTAACCCCAAATCTCCCTATATAAGTCACCAGATTTGACTTCCTAAAATGCTACTCCCATACTCCCTACTCAAAAAACCTCCAAAGATTCTTGTCTAGAGAAGCAAATCTGAGCACATAGCCCCTTCCCCAGCTAAACTGGACTCTTCACCATCCCTCAAATACACTATGCATGTTCCTAGCTCTGCACCTTTGTTCGTGCTTTCTCCTTGCCTAGAAAGCTGTCCTCCTTTCCCTCCCTCCTTCCAAACCCATCCTTCTAAGTCAGCTCACGTCTGTAAAGCCTTCCCAGAGACCAGCAAACACGGGTCTCTCCCATCAATTCTTAGCACTGCTGTCTGCAGATCTCTACACATTCAGCACTCACCCCACCCTCATACCTTTTGTATTTTCTTCTTTTATCTGACCTTGCACTTGTTTCTCTTAAATTCCCATTGACTCTTAGTTCCTAATGGGGCAGGAACTGTGTCATGCTTCTTTTATTTCCTTCACTGGGTCTAGCACACAAAAGAGAAGGAAACCACTGTTTCCCCCTCTCAGCTTTGTTACTTAAGCTTACCAAAAAGACCCTCTGCTAGTCCTTCTTCCTGGTACCTCAGGGAATCCTCAAGAAACCATTTTCATATGGGGCTTTGGCGCACTTATAGTCAGGGGCCCAAAGTTCAAGCCCCAGGCCTACCACTTGCAAGCTGGGCAACCTTAGGCAGGGAGGGCAGACCCCTCTCTGGACACTGTCATCACTTACATTACTTCCTTCACAGAGCTATGGGAAGGAGTAAGAGAATGGAGACAAACAGTTTGTTCATTTTAAAGTGCTCTAGAAATGAAGGTTTCTAACAAACAGAAGACTAACTTTCATGACATTAGTTTATCAAAACTCAAGTGTGAAAAGCAGCTAAGCAGGCCCGCTCTCTGAAGTTCCTCCTCTGCAAAGCTGTGGAGGTGATGTGAGTCTCACAGACTGAATGCAAATGCAAAGTGAGTCACACAGACTTTGGTAGTCACCAAAGTCACCAAACATGATTTAGAACTCCATTTGCAATCAATAGAGAGAAACTCATTGATGGGATTTGTAAAGGCCCACAATTCTTACAATAGCCAAGAAAAAGGCTGGTAATACTTACACCTAAGATATCTAAAGTCCCAGGAGTAAGAACGTCAGAATAAAACCCACGGGTTTTAATCACTGGATACATCTTGGACTTGTCAAGTTGAGAATTAACATCATCATCAATATCTGGATTTCTGGAGTGCTTGGGATATTCCTGTTTGTCCTTCTCCATCTTGCCTTCTCACGTAAAGGAGACCAAAGGTCCTGTAAGAAATCCACAAGGTGACTGATCTCTAGCAAAAGACCTCCAGTCATTCTTCTGCTCTGAGCATTGGTTGACTCCTCTGAGTGTTAGTTTCCTCTTTCATAAATTCAATCAATCAATCAATCAATGTTTATTAAGCACCTACTATGTGCCAGGCACTGCACTCCATCACCATGCCTTGTGGGAAGAGAGCGCTCTGTAAACCCTAAAGCACTTCAGCAAAGTGTGCTATTACTATTATCATGATGATGATGATGATGATGATGATTAGGTTAACTTCTATCCCAGGCTGCCTCAGTACCCCAATGGCTTCATATCCCGCCTCAGTAGCCTTCTCCAGCTTCTCACTCAGGAGCCACTACCCTTAGAATCTGCTTATATAACCCTTTAAATTGGTATAACAGGTAAGCACGAATTTTCTAACCAAATTTCAGTGGAAAAAATGTGGTACGTCTTCAAAGAATCACATTCTAGATGCGGCTGGCTTCCCCTGAGTGCTGCTAGAAATGGGCAGGCACCAGAAGAAGCATTAGGGACTGGGGCAAGGCCACTGAATTAGACTAGAAAATTAACCAGGGAAACTAGCGGGGGAAGGTGCCGCTAGCACACACCCAGGCGGCCTTGCCCTGGCTTTCCCTTGTTCCAGCATCACTAAGGAATACCTGGCTACCCTCAGAGACTTAAGGACTCTTTAATGAGGGGAAGTTTTGGCCGGCCTGCAGAGCTGGATGCTGAATTCCACTGTCCCCTCATCCACTCTCCACTCCTCCCCCACCCCATTCCTTTTACAGATCACCTCTTCCCAGCAGGGGCCATCAGTCCACAGTACACTGCAGTAGCTCATTCCAAACTGAGCCAGTTTCTTGCCTCTGAACTAAGTTTCATTGCTCTGGCAAAGATATTAAGTGAGAATGGCAGCTCCTCATGATCATCCCTCATGTGACGAAGTGGAGGGAGATCTAAAGACAGAATTGACCCTGGGGTTTTTGCTGAACTTGCTGGGGACGGCTAGAGTCTAGACTCAGTCAATGAGCACTTATTGAGCCACTACTGAGTGCCAGGTGTTGTGCTGAGTGATCTAAAGGGCCTCTCTCCCCCATGGGCAGTGTGTGTGTTCGCTCCAGCATGTGCTACGTGCATGTGGATTTAACTCCTGGGTAATTACTTTGCCTTCTGTCTAATTAAGCATCCATCTCTTTACTATGCAATGTGTTTGCTGAATCAGGGAAATTCAGTGGAAATGAGGCAAATCTCTAATGCCATGGACCTAGAAGCTGCCAAAAGAGGGCAAAGATAGGACTCATTCAGGACACTTTAAAAAAAATTTTAGCTGTTTTTAAAAGGCAGCTAGGTAGCGCAGTTGAAAGAATGTTGGGCCTGGAGTTAGGAAAACCTGAGCTCAAATCTGGCTTCAGAGACTTAGTAGCTATGTGACCCTGATCGAATCATTTAACCTCTGCCTCAGGTTCCTCAACTGTAAAATGGGGATAATAATAGCACCTACCTCACAGGGCTGTGAGGATCAAGTGAGATACTATTTAGAAAAGACAGCACAGTGCCTGACACACAGTTAGTGCTTAATAAATGCTAATTTCCCCTTCCCCTAAAGTACTAAATCAAGCTAAAATGTAGCAAATAGAAAGCTGTGCTTGAGCAAAAAGACCTGGGTTCAAGACCCCACCTCTGACTCATCTTGGCTGTTGACTTTGGGCAAGTCACTTCATCACTCACTGCTCTGGGAAACTTTCTAAGACTCTAAATTGCAGAAAAAACTGTGACATCTGCATTAGTGGAGGGAATTTTCCTTCTACCCATGAAATCGCAGGTCCAGTCACTAGCAATAACTGTAATAATTCAATAGGCATATTTTTCCTCTTCTATATTTCTATATTATAGCCTTCCTAGACTATAATTTGACAGGAAAAGGTTTTCCAGTGAAAGAGACAAATTACTACATGTATGTTACTACATACATTATAGCATGATGTGTCAAGTGTCATAGAAACTGTTGTATATTCTTTTTTTTTTTTTGGAGGCAATCGGGGTTAAGTGACTTGTCCAGGGTTATACATGTAACCCTGTCTTGGGTTGTAACATGTAACATGTAATGTGTCTCAGGCTGGATTTGAACTCAAGTTCTCCTGACTCCAGGGTCAGTGCTCTATCCACTGTGCCTCCTAGCTGCCTCCCAACTATTGCATATTCTTGAAGTATAATCATGAAATTGTCCTTAGACGTTAATAGTGTCCAATTATTCACCAGCAAAACTTTATGAATTGATGACCTCCCTTTTAAAAAAAGCATCAAGTTCCCTCTATATGCTTTTTCATAACACGATATCCACAAATAATTTTCTCAGGTCACAGGGAAAATCCAACAGTGGTAAGCAGACCACTCCCTCCCACCCTAATCTTTACACTTCCACAATAGAACATGATAAAAAGGGATATCCAATCAGTATCAGGATGTGCCATCTCCATAAATGCCCACTCTCTCCCTCCAGAAGAGGACTTTTCCATCTAAGGTTATGGCCTCCACTGACAGAGGATCATTCATTAAGCCTCCAGAGGCTCACCAGAGGAAGAGTCGGGCAACACCTTGTTAAGATACACTTCTGTCTTTTGCCTTGCTGTTTGTTCTTTCATTTTAGGTGGAGATTAATCTGGAGGCTCTAATCTTTGAGTTTCAAAAGATCAGGAGAGCCAACCTCCTGGCACTGGGGAGCAAAGGAGTTGGAGTCCGAGCTGGGTTTTACAAGAAGTGACCCAAAGAGCAAGGAGTGACCTTGGGAACCCAGTCCAGCCGTGGCTGAGACAAGTCAGCGATGCCACATATGGAGGTGAATTTAGTGGAGTCAATGCAATGAGAGGTAGAAACTGAGCTCACCTTCCCAAAAACCAAGGGGATATGAGGAGAGTGTACCCTCAAGGTGCTGGAGGAAACTGTCTAGACTTTTGTTGTTGCTATATCTTCACACTAAATATACTTTTGTAAAAGCTAACTGATGTAAAGTGATTAAGTGAAACTGGGGCTCAAATTTAACTACTTACTGGGGGCTAACAGTAGTGTGAAACACAACCAGTAGAGAGGGGCTCAAGCCTCTGACATTAGAGACACACCAATCCTCAAAGCTAAGGCCTTTTGAAGGCACCTCCAGTTCCAAAGTCACAACTGAAGCTAATCCAAGAGGCTGCTGCAATTCCCTACATGGTAGGGCTCGAAACCCAGACACCTGGACAATCCATGCCTCCTGTGGGGACTTACAACAATACAGAAGCTGGTGTGTCAGTATGGAAGAAGCCATGAACACTCCACCTCAAGGGTTATTTCAGAAAAGCTCAACTTTAGTGACTCTCCAGTGCCTTGGAATAGAAAGAGTTATTTGCAGCAGAAACTAAGCCCTGCAGCTGGCAAGTTCTTACCATATGAGGGGGATATGCTAGAGAAACAACAGCAATTCACCTCAATAACTACCAAGCTCTTCAAGAGAAAATTGCCCAGAGATAGACCTTGGGAAGCATCTGAGTGTTAATCACTGACATCAATCATACGGCCCATGTAAGTCACCCATATGGGTGGTACAGGAAACAACTGGGAAGGTCTGGATGTGCGTCTAGCCTATTGGCATTTCGGTAACAGAACGAAGGTAGACCAAGACACCAGGCCACAAGCACGTTGTGTGCTGTACTTCCTAGAGGGCAGCCAGGGATTTTCAGCATTGGATCTATGCAGTGGACACTATCAGATCCCCATGACAAAGGGAGATTTTTTTTTAAGTGTTCTTCATCTGTCCAATATAATTCCAAGAGCTTGAGCATATGCTCCAGGGAATTGCTGGAACCTCTACCACTTTCAAATGGCTTGTGGATGAGGTAGCTGGTGACATGAACTACTTTGAGGTGTTGATGTATCCAGATAATTTCATCCTATTTACAAAGATATGGTAAGCATTTGGTTGGAAATTATTGCTGACCTGAGGTTGTCAGCTGACAAAGGCCAGTTCTGCAGAGGCTTTGCCAAGTATGTGGGATTCATTTTGTCTAGCAGAGATTGAGTATTGAGCCCCACCCAAAAGACAGCAACACTCCTGACCTGACCACAGCTAAAGAATGGTTGAGAGCTAAAGACTGTTCTAGGATTAGGCAGCTACTACTAAAATGTATAAAAAAACCGTGTTATCATCCCAAACCCTCTTGATGGCTTCATTCATGAATACATGACTAGGAAAAAAAAAAAAGAAGCAGAGAGGAAAAAGAGGCAATCTGGCCTGAACTTCTTTCTCCATTTGGACACTGTTGGGATGAGAAACATGAGCACAGGCACCCAGCTGTCTTGAATTTCACAAATGAAGCAGCAAAGTGGTGCAGTGGATAAGCACAATTCCTCCCCTCTAGATTCTTACTTCCACCTGGGGGAGTCGGAGAATCTGTTTGTCTCAATTTCCCCATCTGTAAAATGGAGATAGATAATAAAAGCACTTACCTCCCACTGTTATGAGGATAAAACAAGACACTTGTAAATCACTTTGCAAATCCTAGAGCACTATATAAATGTTATTATTATCCATGCAAGCCCTACTGCTTACTAGTAGAGGTCTCTTGACAGTTATACTCATTAGTCCATTCACAAATTGGACTATTCAGCTGAAGTCATGTCTTTAGATCCTAAGCCTAGAGACTGATTTCAAGTTTTGGATGGATAACAATCCACTGACATATTTTGATAAATGACAAGTTGGGCGCTGCCCCCTGGAGCTAGTGCTAGCCAAATATGAATTCAGAGGACTTTGCCAGCCAGGAAGACTAATGCAGGTGCAGTTTCCTATCTCCAAAATCCATGGGGATTCCCATAGAAGGAATAACAGCAGTCTGTGACACACAGGTAGCCAAGTGATTATCTTGGGAATGCTGCTGAAAGCTGGGATTTTCACCAGAATTTACCATCAATAGATGTGCATTTTGTAGCTTCAGACCTTCTTGTCCTATTTGTTGTTGGATGA